TATATATATATATATATATATATATATATATATATATATATATATATATATATATATGTGTGTGTGTGTGTGTGTGTGTGTGTGTGTGTTTTCCTTAGATAAAGTAAAAAATGAAATATAATTTTAAATTTTAATATAATCTTGTTGAATAGTCAAATGCTACAATCTCACTTTGTCTGCCGTATTTCTCAGTAATATTTTGTCGTCACGTAACCTCAGAGTAGCTATGTAGCACTAAATGCTTGCTGAGAGCGGCGACATGTTTGGGGAAGAGTCCTCTAGGAGGAGAACCCTCTCCCTCACCCAGGGGAGGTATCAGTGTTCTTCCACACTGCGGAGAATGCCATGCTCGGCTTTCCTGGCTTCCGCTATGCTTTGCTTACAACCATTCACTTTAACCTTTTCTCTCAAGTACCTTCCAGGCTAATGAGTGGGATCATATGTTGTGCAGGTGACCCCAGAGGGAATCATACCCCTAGTTCCATGCAGGACCACCTGTCAGGCTTTGAATAATTTGTCCTTGTGCTCGACAAAGACCTAAAACATAATTTAGAATTATTCCAGTGCATGGGAGGACTCTGTGCAAGGGGAAAATAATATGATAATTTAAGTAATACAGATGTTTAATGCTTACTTATCACTAATGATACTGTAATCATAGGAATGAAAGAGCTGATGACTCAGTTTTATTATAAACAAATTACATTTATGACATTTAAGGAAGAAGTGAGACTTCTATATAGTAAAATTTATTTGGCATTAGTTATAAATTAAACCTCAATTATGTATTATAGGATAAAATAATGAATACAATGGGCCATTACTCAAGAGAAAGCTGTAACTGAATTGTTTGGGTCACAAAAGTCCTTCTTCAACCTATTTGCCTACATAAATATGCAGCTAGCATTAGCTACAATGAAAATTGTAACCAGTGCTAACATTTCTATTAATCTACGACATTTCCATGACTCAAGATCCCCAAAGCTTCTTTCTTTAATTGTAATTTGAGTTGTTTTTGAGATATTGAAAATATGTAGCTGCAAGAGAAAATAAACATTTTCATGGATGCTATTTGTTGCTAATCCTCACTATATATTAGCTTCAGTGAAAACTATTTAAAATTTAAGACTTTCAAGTAATTTAACAGTAATTTTTTTAAACCTGACGAACAAATATTGTGCACAATTGGTTGTTATACCAATTTGCCTCCAAAAATTGAAAACTAACCTTTGTGATTTTTTATTTTTTTTTGCATGAAAGTGTTTAACTCCCTGAGCTAGGAAATTAATACGCAAGAAGTATCTCACTAACTTCCTCTGTTATTTAGTTCAATAATAAGAAATTTTCTAATTTTAACAACATACCAACATACTGCTCCATTACTTCTCTAAGCCTGGCAGTTATATGCTTGAAGTTATAAAATTTACATTTAAGAGCAAACAAGAATTTCTAGAGTTACTTTTAATAAAGATTAGCAAACTATGTCAAATTTAGAGCTGACATAGCGACTCTGTTATAAACATATTTTTGGTTTTAATGGATGTTAGGTGCTGCTAAATTTGATGAATTTACTGTCACTATTAATGTTTATGAAGTTTGACATTTATCCAAATAGCAAAAAGGAATTGAACCTTGATTTTTTTTTCTCCAGTGCTTAGCTTTTGTTTTCAATCTGGATTTTAATCCTATCAGGTATTTCTGCTACCCTATCATTAACCGCATAAATCAGTTTCACTATCTCCAACTCCTCCTCTCTTTAGTTCTGCTACAGGACAACCGGACACCATTATGACATCTGAAATACCGTTCTTAAATCTCTCTCACAATGACGCCCAGCTACCAGCTGAGTCAACCGGCAACCTAACTCCTTCCAGGGGAGATATCAGCTGTTTTTCAATGGAAATCTGGTTCTTCTAACTGTGTCTGTCATGAGACCTTCCTGTCCAGAGTCGGCAGATGAAAATCTGCCGACTCTGCTTGGCAGAACATTGTGTGTCTTCCCTTGTTTCTGTCTACGGTTTTAAAGGTGTGGAGGAGAATTTTAGTTCTGCTTCCTCTGAGATTTTCAAACTGTTGTCTTTCTCGCACAGAATAATTCAACCAGGTTACGTCATTATGGCTTTGATATTATTCTTTCTCTATTTTCATATTCTTGTCCTGGCTCTTTACCTTAGAGATTATAATAAATACTTGTTATTTTGGGGTGTTTTACTGAACATTGATTTACAGTGCAATAAAACAAAATTTTACCAAGTATTTTGTGTTTAGTTTTCAGTGTAAATATCACTTTAAAGTAACTTTTCAGCAAGATATATGAACTTAAGTTTTACGTCAGAAGGTCAGAAAAAGTAAGAAAAAAGTACTTTGATGAAAAAGTAGTTCCATTGGCAGATTATTTTACTTACACCAAGACATTTTTCCAATGTTATAGGTGAAATAATCTACTAGTGGTGGAACTAATATTTATTCATCAATATTAAGGAATTATTGGCTTAAAACAAGATCCTATTGCTGAAAAGTTACTTGTAAGTCAGTGTTTTCTGGACTGAAATGAGAAGGTGAAAAATGAAAAACTTCGACATTTACTGAAAGTAAGCATTTGAAGCAGTTACTATGAACTAATTATATTAATTGTAATTAAAGTAATTTAGCTTGTGACATTGTGAGGAATCTAGTCCAAGTGAGCTTCTTCCATCTCTTGATTGACAATTACATCACTGCTCCCTCTGGTGGCCTGAACTGTATTTTACAGTAGATTTTCTACATCTATTGTACTTGTAACAAAGAAGCGGAGTCAACAAAGCAGACACACACACACACACACACACACACACACACACACACACACACACACACACACACGGGGAGCTCAAAAGGGGAACATACCTCCCTAACCCTAACCCTCTGACTGTAGTTTCTGTAGTTGTTCACCCATTTTACCTTCTGTGCACCTCCCAGGTCTGTTTACCAGTTCCAGCACCCAACCAAAACCCCTCAGAGTTACTACCTTGAGCAATAATGAGATTTGTTTAAGTATAAAACAGGCAGTAATGCCAAAAATGTTCTAATGTTACAAGTCATACAAATGGAACAAATACAGAGTGACATTCACCATCCAGCACTTGAACACACTTAGCTCACCTTAGGGATGTAACCAAGTGTCCATATCAAAGTACAATTTTCAGGGTAAATCTGATGATATATTGTCAGCATTGCATGTCTCTCAAGCTTGTCCAAGATTGCCTGGTGGAATGCAGACAGAGCCACCGCTGTACACATTTCCAAGAGAAGTGTTTCTGCCGACGTGAAAACACTGAGCTTTACATAAAGCATCAGTTGTGTCATCATGACAAAGTTCCAATCATTTACACATGTAAACTTTTGGTCATTATAGCACCATAGGCACGTGTTCATGGTATACTAAGATGTTGTTGACTCTTCTGAAATTGTTTCCTAATCTGGACTTTTTGATTGAACATCCTCAGGATTTAATCACAAATACTGGAATACTGGCTCAAAAAAGCCTGTATTCCGTCACGTACTCCTTTAAATGGAGATGTAAATATATGTTGGTGCTGCAGTGCAATGGGCCAAACAGTGTAACACATTTTGAGACATCTGTAGATATTGTTCAGTTATAGAAGTATGCCATGAAGAAGTATGTTTGGAGAAAGAATATTCAAACAATGATCTATCGTGTCGGGTAAAATAAATCTTACAGGTGTGTTAGGAAAAGTCCGTGCTTTGTGTAAAATGGTGAAAAAAGTAATATTTTACGGAGTTACAATTTGTAAGATTGGCAGCAAGAAGTGCTTTCCAGCCAGCATGTGATTGGCTCTGGATTTGATTTCGCTTTACTTATATGATCAATTTTGCTATTACTGAGAAAAAAAAAATAAATAAAAAATTGTGTGATGATAACCAGCAAACTGATGATTATATTTGTTTATTATTGTAAGTAATCTTTGATCTTTTTCTGTTTGTTATAATGCTTTTCACCAATTTGTATATGTTTGCTTGATGTTCAGCAGGATCACGTTTGTGGTGAAACATACTCTTAGACCGGGTGACTCTGAATGAGAAGATCAACAGATAAAAAGTATCATGTCTCACTTGCAGCAGTCTTTTTTTTTTTTTTTTTGCAATGAGGGCCACTGATTTGTCTCCAAGCAACAATTCACCTTCATAGGATTTATCCAGGTCTCTTTTGTCCAGTTCATGGTCCAGCTTATTCTATATCACTATAAAATAACCCACCTTTGTTTTCATTTCCCTCCCCCTCCAAGCAACGTCCCTTTGACATCTGGCTAACCATGTAAATCCTGCGTCACACAGCCATAATCCGCAGCTCTATACTTCTGCCATATGTCATCTGCCAATGGAAGCAAATATCAGAAGCACATCCGTAATAACCGATGGTTTAGACTTTGATCGAAGGCGGACATTTCCTGAACATTTCTATGTAAAACAGACATTTCTCATTACAAATTTATCCCAAATCTTAGGACTCGGTAGCAGAATGTAAGAGTGTCTGTTTTATGAATGCATATTAAATATACATTTTCTGCCCTTGTCTTTAGATGTAAACATTTTTATTTCTTCTAACCATTGAATTCTCTTTCTGACTAAATAACTGGAGCTCATCCAACTAGACATGACATTGCTTTAGGGAGTCAAGCCAACATGTGAAGAATTGCTGTAAAGTGACAGAATGTGCATTAATTCAAACACGTTTCGTGTACAGAACAGAATGCAGTAAGCCGGCAGTCAGTTACTTTAAATATACAATTACACACATGAACAATGGATCAGGAGGGATAATCCTGCAGGACGCTCAGGACACCATCTGCGAAGAGCAAAAGCTCGGTTTGGTCTTGTGGAGCCACAAGAGAGCGTTGTGGGTCTCTTCAGCAGTGAGACGTGTGTTGCTGGAAGAGTTTTGCAATTTCACAAACGGTAAATTCTGTCGCTTTTTCACACAACATATATGCACAGTTGAGTGACTTGATGTTATTCCTTTATTTCTGATCAAATACAGCATTTAAGGTGACAATTTTACATCCGATCAATAACTTCTCGGTGCTAAAAAGGCCATTTGAAGTGACTTGTCCTGTAGAGAGCAATATGAGGAAAGTGATATCACATTCCTCACATTGTGTGATTTGACATTTTTCTTCACTGTTTGAAAAGTAACAAGCAAACATTGCAATATTACACAGACAGCAGTAAGATTAAAATATTTCTGTTTTCAACATTGAGAGTTTTGTTCTGCTTCTTGATTTTATTTTGTTAATACAAATGAAAACAAGCAGAAGATTTTGACTGACAAAAGAGACTGTAAACATTGTCTGGGTCTTGAATACCCATATATGTCTGTTCTCCTCTGTTTGTGCCCAAATCTTTTGGGATTGTACTTATTTATTTGTACATTGAAGAAGACAGAGCACTAAAGAGCTTTCCTTCCTAGTAAATGTCCTTCCAGAAGAGGAGCCAAGGTGACGGAGACGACAGAGAGAGATTAGCCATGTTCCTGCTGACCGAGACTTTCTGCAGATCCCGTCTTTGCCGACTCATCACTTGTCAGCCTTCGTAGATCGTTCCCCAATCAGGCTTCGTGTCTGCAGCTCAAGCCACTGACACTCACAGACAGCTGCGCAAACATGCACTTTCCAAGGTGTACGGGGACACATTGATGACGACTAGAGATAATTTTTCCATTCTGCTGTGGTGCCCCCTTAAGGACAGCGCCCCTATGCGTCGCATGTAGCGCATACCCACTTTCTGCGCCACTGCCCACAGACATTCACTCAAACGCTCTGGCTGCTGTAAACCCCAACCAACACTTTTACTACCCTCCTTCTCTCTCTCTCTAGTTGGACGCTCATTTTCAGAGTTCTACATCACTGTAGCTTTGGGGAGGCGGTGCTCTTGAGTTGTCTCCAGACAAAGTCAGTCACTCAGTGGTGCGTCAGCATGACGTTGTGGTCGTCTTCGGGCACGTAGAGCTGCGTCACAACGCGGACGTGAGAGATCTTCTTTACTGCCTTGTGAAACACCTGCTTCATGTCCCTGTTGTCAGCCAACGACATCCTGAGTGAGAGAAACAGAAGCCGTGAGGAGGAGCGTGGAGGATGGAGGGAGAAAATTAGAATCAGTTCGGGTCATTAAAAATGGGAAAGGAATAGTTCTATGTTTTTAAAGCAAAACATTGTATTTACTTTGAAGCGTCGAACGATCTGCACCTGCAGAAAGAACAAGAGAGAGGTAAAGGAATTTTACCTCCCACACGAAGGTAAATATTGAGGGAGAATCAAATTTCCACTCAGTGTCTACTCTTTAAAGTCAAAGGATCACACACAAAAAAGGGGGAAACACAGCAAAGGACGTCTGAGTACATCACCATGAAATCCTAGCTGCCCCTTAAAAGGGGTTTCAAAGAAACTCCCAAGTTTCCAGCTTGTCATGTTGAAGAAATACCTGATTTATATTTGAGCTTGATGAACATAGAATACAACACAATGAGCACAGAAGTAGAGAAATTTAAACGGTATATATCAGATATGGGGATTATTAGATTTTCATATCCATAAAAACACATCTTTAATCAAGTCATCACTGCCATGTCTGCAGTAGGCAGATGTCAGAACCATTTGAAGAATCAGACAGAAGTTCTCATGGGTAAAGTCAAGCCAACAGACCAGGGCTGGTTTTTGAGAACTTCAGCAAACCTCATGAAACCTTTAACAGTAACCTGAGTACTTTTGTGTAATTTTTTATTTATTCGTTTTTTGGGGAGACATTTGGCACCGTAGATTCTCTATCTTTCAGTAGAAACATTGTAAAATGAACCATGTGAAGCATCCCCTTGCACTACAACTATTCAATTGTGGAATATCTGCAAAGTGTTGATGGCTATAAAAGTTTAAAAGGTTTGACTGGTTTCGATGGCCGAAGCTCATTCTGAAACCAGCCCAAATCTGACGAGCCATTAACTTCACTGGTCCATGCAAGTTTCTTGCTGATTCCTTAAACTGGGATTGCTCTGACTGCTCTCCACTGCAGACTGATAATGGCAAACTATTATTTCAAAGACACATCATGACTTCTCCGATCAACCTACTCAGCATCAACACATTGCTGCCGTCGAATGAAAAATGTGCTGGATTGATCATTTTGAAGGTGTGGACATTTAGTACAAGTTTTCAAGTGACAGCAGCGATGTGGTGAGCAGTTTAAAAGACTTGTAAAGTAGAAGAACTGAGTTTTTTTATGAATAAAGAAGAGGAGCTTTTCTTTTAATCCCACGGACAAAGTCCCCACAATCCTCACATGAACTGTCTAGAGATGCCACTGCTTTTAATACCATTAAATTACATACTGATACAACCCAGGTTAAAGCCTAATAAGAAATTTTGTCAACAACTTAAGTCAAGCACACAGAATAAGGCATAGTCAGTAAATGTGCAACCGCAACAAACATTTGATCTATTCCTTAGAGGGAAAAACATTCAACTGTTTGAAAGGTTTCTAAATTTAAAATGTATTCAAAAATATTGAATAACTCATTTTAACTAATAAATATATGTATTTTGCCATAGCCAATGTTTCTCGCCAAACTTGGAATGGGTTGAGTTAAAGACCAATCAAGTCTAATTAACTTGTGGTAACACCTTAAAGACAGTTCATCCCCAAACTATGTTTGCCAAAGGACGAGTCACGTTGCCAACCAAGCCAGTAATGTTATACATTTTTATAATGCATAACATTACCTCAGTTTTTCTTCTTTGCAAGTTGTTCCTGCTGTTGTTTCTCGGCTTTCCGTTTCTTGTACTGGGCTATCTCGGCCATCTGCAGCCCATGGGCCATTTGCCTGTTGAGACGAAGCGAACACCATGATCACAGCACACACACACTCACGTTCTGCAGTCCTGCAATGGCACATTTCTCTTTAAAAAACTTTGCCATTTCATTGTTGTTGTTTTTATTGCCACCCAATAGGTCCAGTATTTTAAAGGGAAATGACTAATAGGTAGGTTCCTTGGAGACTCATTTTATTAGAAAGTCTGATCATAAAGGATTTTACAAGGTTTGACCCAATACAAGTTTTCTCCTTAAAGGTATTTTTTCACAAAGCAGAACAATTTCTCCAAATCTTTCAACACAATTCTTCTAAGACAACCTAAAGCTTTGCCAAGTCCATTTTTTGAGGAAATGGAAGAGTACTATTGGTGCAGTGGTTCTTTCCAAAGTACTACAAACTGGTGTCAGGTCTGCCAACAGTTCCTCCCGAATAAAATATTAAAACTCAGATCCCATCACCACTATGCACCTCTGTGCATGATATAGCATTGCAATTATACAGTATTTTGAGGTGTAGAATGAAATTAGGACAATTGCTTTGTCACCATTTGATTCACTTGATGGTGAATGGTGAAACTACCTCACTACAATGCAGTGCCCTAGACTGACTGAAGTGACCAAGCCTTATGCACCATCCTTTACTTTCAAATATCTTTTACTTGCATCTGACAAGTTACTAAATTTCAACTTCTTCATACAGAGAGTCCAGTCTGAGAACTCACATTCCTTAACTTCATTACTTGTTCACAGTATTTCCTATATGAACTCAAATGATTGTTTCAGCCATTGTACTCAGCTTCTTGAGTACACTGGAGCAATGCAAGAGCATCCACAGATGATTAATGGAACAACAACCCGTCACCAACTCAAGGAGTTGGTGACGGGTAACACGGGTTACTATGTCTAGTAACTCATGTGCTACACAAGTTTTATGTCAGATTACCCCAGAAGAGAGGCAAGGTTGACTCAGTGCCAGGGTTTGTATTGTGGTCAACTTCTTCGCTTGACCACCTTCGCCCAGTGGAAGGAGGAGTCATCTTGCGATCCAAAAGTGATAGGTTGATTCCAGCTTCCTTCTCTCATACGTCGATATTCCACTGAGAAAGGTCCTTCATCCCAAGCTGCCTACCAATCAGACCAATGAAATACGTTGGGAGCTTCTTTGATCATGAATAACCTCAATTCTCCCGGTTTTTGACAAGCTGATAATGTTCATCAAAACACTCCCCTGATCTGTCACTAAATATCCAGAGCTCCTGATCATCTAGTTTGTTTGAACCTCATCAGAAAATAATGACGGTAAGTTTTGTTGACCCCATCTTACATTCAGATACTCTCCACATTAGTCCACATGTCCTTCCCATGGGTTGAGTTGGTGAACTTACCTCCACAGTCTTGTCCTCAAATCAATTTCATGTTCAAAGTCTCAAGAGCCAGTTGAGGTGGCTTGAAGATCTGGTAAGTATGGCTCCTGGAGGTGAGGTGTTCCAGGCACATCCCACCAGGAGAAGATTCAGAGGAAAGCCCACGGACTGTTTCTTGACCAGCCTAGTAAGGCTTTAAGATTTCCCTGGAGGAGCTGGCCCAAGTGGCTGGCACAAAGTCAGCCAGCAGATGTTGAGTGGAGGAGAACCAGCTTATGACTGCGCCTCTGGTAACACTGGCAATGAGGAGCAACCACCAACAGAAAATGTTGTTGATTTTTATCTACTTTGGACACTTGGCATTAAATGTGGTAGGGTAAATGGAAAACCCTGTCAAGAAAATACCAACAAAAAAAAAACTCATGGCTGCAGATTACGGATTGCTGTGAATACGGTGTGTGCATGCAAACAATGATCTAAACTCTGTTACAATAGTATTAGAGAGTAATGTGGACTAATCTGAAACAAAAGTTGGAAATAACATGCAGAATTGTTACATTCTTGGAGATTGTGTTGTTCCTTTGTGGCCTTTCTTTGAATGTTGCGTCTTCCCTAGTGTGTACAAATGTGAGTGTAGCCGTCTTCTTAAAATCAATTGTTTGTACAAAGATATTACTAGAACATTCTGTCTGTAACTGTGGTATGGTTAATTACAACACCTAAATCATGTACTGTACATAAAGTGTATAATAAAACCAGAACCATTGTATCAAAGTGATAGTGTAGATGCTTTTCTTGTTTACTGTAGAATATTTTTTTTAATTTCCAATGAAGCATTGCATCATCTTAATCTTTCAGATGGGAAGAACAAATTCATGCAAGGACCAGTATGAAAGTGGCTGATTTTGAACTTGAATGAAGAACTGATAAGGTTTCTTGTAGGTAGTTATTCAAAACCAGAGCAGGACTCAGAATCTGGAGAGAACTTGGACCAGGGTGGTAAAATTCTAGCTATATAAGGGGGTGGGGGAAAGAAAAAGAGCAGAAAGACAAACACGGGGAGGGGATGGAAGAAACTCATCCCTACCCTGACTTAAGTTCTGGAGGAACCGGCAGAGGTTTGGTGAATCCATCTCTCCCTGTAAGCCAGTATGTTTCTTCTATTCCTTTTCCCTGAAGAAGAGGTAGAGACAAAAAAATAATTTCTTCACGCTTCTAGTCATACGGGTGACATTATCTTTGTATTTGCTGAAGATTTGTACTTTGACTTCTGTACGACTCCTCAACTGAAGCTTGTATCCAAGATTGAGTTCCTGCAGGACCTTTACTGTACTCTGATGGACATGAATCCTGTAGGCTACCATAAGAAAAAAATAATAATTAACATCAAAACATCCTACATTACCTAACAAAAAAAGTAGAACAAAGAAAACAATCTGGAAAAAACCCAAGTAAAATGCTTTCCAACTGGTCAGAAAACCTATAGGTAAAGTGACAGCTACATGTAGATTGCAAACCTTAACAAAATTGCAAAGACTTCAAATCTAAGGTTTGTGCTCAATATCAAGAGATTACAGAAAAAAAAGTACATATTTTATTGACTAAAATCAAAAATCTGAAAAATGACGTCATTTCAAAGCCATTTTTAGATTTTTTTGTACCTTCTTATTGTTCTTAAATCTGGAAATGTTTGGTTTCTGCATAAAAAGACTTAATCAATAGATCAGGAAATATGTGCCAGTTTCTTTAATTAGAATTTTATCCACACACTTGTTCTCTGACTTGTGTGAACTTACGCATTCCACTGGACTCCATTCGAGAAGCGGTGGTCACCGTGTCTCCAAACAAACAGTAGCGAGGCATGGTGAGACCCACCACACCTGTTACACACGGACCTGCAACACACCATAGAGCCAAAGTCAAGTTTCTGCTGTTGAAGAACAAAACATTTGGTGTACATATGGATCTTCAGTGTCTGGCTGAATGTCGATCGAAAGTCGGAGAACTCAACTTAAACTCCATTCTTTACTTGCCTGTGTGAAGTCCTATTCGTATTCTGACAGGAACGTCTGGCATGTGCCTCATTTTGAAGGTTCCCACAGCGCTGAGGATGTCCAGAGACATGTTGGCAATTTCTGCAGCATGGCGGTTGCCGTTGGGGAAAGGAACACCCGACGCCACCATGTAGGCGTCGCCGATAGTCTCCACCTTGAGAAGGCCGTGAGAAAATGAGCAACAATTTCAACCACCTGATGTTACCTCTTTAGACACAAGATTAACTAGAAAAGAGTAACCTTGTAGACATCGTGGTTTCCTATAATGGCGTCGAACAGCGTGTAAAGGTCGTTGAGGAGGTCAACCACCTCGATAGGTTCACTGTTGGCCGAGATGGTGGTGAAGCCAACGATGTCGCTAAAATAGAGCGACACATTGTCGAAATATTCTGGCTCCACTACCGCTCCCACCATCAGAGCCTCTGCCACTGAGCTGGAGGGGTAAAAAAGAAAAACTTTAAATAAGTTTGTATAACCCAGGCCGAACTAAATGTGCACTTTAAATGGAGAATTGAGAGCGCTAACAAATCTTCAATGCTTTTCTGACAGATTTAACAGTATTGTTTTCGTCTTTATCCTTAGTTTTACCTTAAAAAATTAAATTTGCATTCCACGCGTGTTTCTTTGTTCAGTTATATGAGTGGTAACGTACGGGGGAAGCATCTGTGTCAGCAGCTTCTCTGTCTTCTGCTTTTCTATCTCCAGCTCCTCCGTTCGCTCTCTGATCAGCTCCTCCAGGTTAGAGGAGTACTGCTCGAGCATCCTCAGCATCGAGTCTATGATGTTGGTCTTCTTCCCTTTGTTGATGTTTTTGAACTGAAAGGACCAGAAGCGCATGAATATCCAACAGAATTCATTTAGAAAGTGCACTTTAAAAGTAGATTTTGTTAGAATTAAGATGAAAATATGCAGGCGCAACTTGATTGGAGATGAAAAAGAATGACCTGGTCAAATATGTCCTCGAAGGTCGGCCTCTTGTCTGGCTGTTCGGTCCAGCATTGTTTCATCAGCTGGATGCACTCCATAGGAGCGTAATCTGGACTGACCACCGGACGGCACAGAGGTGGAGGCTTACGAAGCTTTTCTAATATTTCTGAGGACATAAAACAGGAGCTTAGCAGGGATCTCCTCTTTCAAATTATGCTAAAATCTGATCAGCAAACTTGAGTCTGATATTAGACGTTGGAGATCATTTATTTTTCCACATTTAAGGTTGTTTGAAGTACTTTTAATTGTCTTAGAAATAAATCAGTGATTTAATTTTGACTTGACGTGAGAGAATGCAATGTTGTGGAATTTTGCATTGATACTTTTACAATAGATACCCATTAACTTTGCATGTACATTTTTTTAAAGAAGCAAAACCATCTATGTGTTGTTTATTACACATGATCCATCTTGTTTATGGATAAGTTATAAGAAAATAACATTTGTTTTTTATTATATCATTAGCCAAAAAAACTTATAGAGCAGAAAAAATAGAAAGATTTTAGTAATATCTGTGATAAAATAGTATTTTCTTTTGTCTTTTACAAGCTATATTTTCAAAATATGTGACTACAATTTATTTTTTTTGCTTGAAATTCTCTTGCCGCCCCATAAGTTATGCCACCCTGGGTGGAGAGTCACATCTATATATACTGCTAATGGGAATCTCCAAAAATGAACAACCTACCCCATAAAATTGACTGTTTCTGATCTGATTTACTTTTTCAAAAGTGAGCTGACCCAGTAAAATAAGATGATGACTGATGAAAAGTACTCAGTACAACTTTATTTAAAAAAAAATCGTTTAAAGAAAATGAACATCTTTTAACACTATATATTTTTAATGTATTTGAAAACTATATATCTCATTAATTTCCATTTTTCTGATCTAACTGAAAAATATTATAATCTGTTTATCTGATTTAAAAATGTTTTATATCTTGTGCCTTCCATTATCAGCAGAACAACCAATTTTGCAAATGAGATGTCTTGCCTGCGTCAGACAGGTCCAGCATGCAGAACGGAGGCCCTCTGATCACGACCTCCTGCATTATGATAGCAAAGCTGTAAACGTCACTGGGGAGGGTCCTGTGGAGTCCTGGATGACTGGCTCTCAGGACCTCTGGAGCCGTCCACAGCAACTCTGCAACACAAAGGTGATTTAATGTCCTCCTGTTGCTACAGTTTGAGAAATTATCTGTTAGAATGAGACCGCAGGGTCCATTTTTCACAGCGTGAACCCTACAGAAATTAATTTTCAACACCGCAGGGTTGCAGAATGAGCAGCTTTCAGAAAGAAATCAGAATCAATGCTTCTCTATTTCACAAATCTAAGAAACGCCTGGTCAAAACCTAAACCATAATTCAGTGTAAGCAAAAGATTGGCAAGATTGATGTATATTATCTTTTTTATATATATAATTAGAGTACCTTTTTTAGTAGTTAAAGTTTTCCCTGGAAGAAGGTAAACGTCATCAATAAGGGTCAATAATGTAGTTCATGTTCTAATAAATACACCTTCCCTAAAAGTAAGTAAACTGTCCAGATCCTGAAATGAAATAAATAAATAAAAACTCTGAAAAAGCTTTGTATCTGTTACCTTCTGGACGCGATTCGACGAAGGGGAACCGTTGTGACTCCAGAACCTCATTGTAGCCGTAGTCTGTCACTTTAAGGACAAAACGTCCATCCACCACGCAGTTACGAGACTTCAGACGGGTGTGACACACTCCACGATGATGAAGGTACTTCATACCCTTTAAATTGGGAGGGGAGGGGGGAGTAGGTGCAGTTTCGCCAACTTCTCTGTTTGAAATTTTATCTTCCACCTAAATTACAGTACTGCCATTTACCTTAATGAGGTCCAACAGCAGAGACGATTTAAACATCCAGTCGAGTTTGACGTCGTCGTTCAGCAGCAGGTCCTCCAGGCTTCCCCTGGAGCAAAACTCGGTGACGATGGCAAACACACCGCAGTCATGAAAGAAGCCCAGGAAAGGGTTGATGTTCTCGTGACGCATGTCTTTCATCTGCAGGAACAAGCAGCACAATCCTACTCGTGTAGTTTCACAACACGTTGGGTTTTAATTAGCCTTCCTACGCAGTTCCGCTCTATTTTAATTTCATTTCACTGCTTTGTTTGAGATTTCTCCTACTGACCTAAATTTCTTAGGCAGAATTTCAACCGGGCAATGATGTCAATTTCCTACTGCGTTAGCACCTGTAGCAATGGCGCCGAAGATAGTGAACGATGCCGTCTTGGCCAGGCTTTCAAATATTAAATTAACGCCAACAGATGCGTAGTTCTGCTTGGCACTTATATGTTAGCAGTCTGAGATGGATGTTTACAGCGCAGCCCAGTAAGTTTCATAGAGTTGAACTGGCGCCTTGTGTCAAGGCCAAATGTTAGTGGTTGGGTGAAATTCAAAAGTCAACAGAGTGACACTAACCCTAACACATGCAAGAAGAAATAGTTTCTTAAATAGCCCAGGGTTCAGACTCTGTTCGTGAAGCATGAAACAAAGAACCATTTAAATTTTAATGATTAGGTTTTAGGCTTTATGTATTTTTATCTGTTTTTCTTTTCCCTTTTTTCAGATAAAATTAACATTTTGTAAATCATTGGACAAAACTCTGCCATTTCAAATGACAAAGGTTTTGCTGTATAATAAGACAACTTGTATTAAGATTAAAGGTGTTAAAATAATAATCTAAATGTTTTAAGTTTAAATTTAAGGTTTAATCATCAAGCCAGGATCCATTTTATCAATGTTTAAAGTTGACAGGAAATTTTAAAAGATCACTTGATAATCATGTGTTATTGAAAGATTGGAAGATTAACACCTGAACACCAACTATAAAGTCTTAAAAAATGCAAACTTTAAAAAGACTTAAATAAATAAGCAATGCTTAGTCTGGTGGGTGGGGGCTCAAGTAAAGCCTGGTGGCCCACCAGACTCATAATACACTGGGGGAAACCCTAAACTACGGCCCGCCTCCACATTTGGTCCGACCCCCTGAACAATACCAGAGAGCATTCAGATTTTTTTTTCATTTATTTTATATGTGGATTTTTCTTAAACCACCAGGAGGTGTGCCCTGTAAACTGTGGGTGTTTTGTTTTGCATGGCGCATTGCTGGACTTTTAGGGAACTGCTTGACTTTTATGTTATTTAATCAGTACGGTTGTTTGCTAGCGGTAGAGCAGATGAGATGAACACACGCGTCTGTTATGAACGCCGCATTCCAGGTTGAATTCTTCGAAGCGACGCCTGTAAGTAGCAGCTTATACTTCAAAACGAGCCTTTATGTTAACATATGAGAAATTAATATGGTATAGTTACATTCCCCCAACGGAATATATACTAGTCAGTCCCAGTGACCGTTTCACTCATGGTTTTTGCCCATGTGCTTTCTGGGTAAAAATCAATCGAGAAACGCAACACCCACCCCACCCCCCTCAACAATTTCCGGCCCCCCACCAGAGAAGGGAAAAGTTATGTGGCCCTCACAGGAAAGAGTTTGGGGACCACTACCCTACTGTATACTGCTTCAGAAAAAAATAGTCATGTTCTTTTGTATCTCTCATCATTTTCACATACCAATTCAAAGACATCGCTGGTTTTAGGGTTAATGCTTCGAAACCTGCCATTAGGTAGCCTCTTCAGCCACGCCCAGTCACCCTGATCAGGAGAAAGAGTGTTCAATTAAAACTCCCCTCAAAGTTTCACACACTGACTTTACTACTGAAAGTGTTGTCATGTTCTTAATCTGGCTTAAATATCGAAATGTCTGACCTCAAAAATGACAACGTTTGAATTCTCGTATGTGGCTGGAGACTGAGAGGAGGCGGGTGTGTTGAGGCTGCGCTCAGACGTGCTCCGGCCACCGCTAGTCCTGCTGTCATCTAGGCTCAGCTTCTGTGGATAGCAAATTGTTACCAGTTTAGAAAAGTATCAGGAGTTACAAAGTACCAGTGCATGGGTTTAAATAGTACAAAGAACATTGAATTTAACACAAATTTGGGGGGATTTGTGATGGGAAAAAACACATTATGTTGTGTTTTCATGACAACATAATGGCTGACCTTGTTACTAAGTGAGGGGTTAATAAATGTGACGTCTTGGAGAGTAAGCAGGATCTTGTTGGGACCTCTGACCATTCGAATCTGATTGACGCGTCGCCTGAGAGGGAGTCAGGGGGAAAAAAAATTAAAAACTTGTTTATGTTTTGTTGTTTTTACCTGTTAAAGATTCCTAAAATTCAGATTCATTTTAGCTTTAGATTAATAGTTTCTATAGGTGATTTCATACTTGATGCAGTACAGGAGAGCCACTGCGAAGACAGAAGCAGCAATAAAACCAAAGAACATGCTGAAAGTCAAGAGCAGATCCACTCCTAGAAAAGAAAAGAAAAACTGAGAGAACAGACTTTAACCTATAATACTATCCAAAAAACTTTTTATTTTGTGAAAGGAACTCTGAAAAATTCACGTGAGCTGTGCAGCATACAAATTCATTTAAAAGTATATCAATTAACTGCAGCAGATCCTAAATATATACACCCTGAATACATGTTTTTTGTGGTTTTCCTCACCTCCTGAGCAGATGACGCCGGGCGTAAACCAGCAGGCAGCATCTCTCCTGGGCCCGTAGCCTTGTGGGAAGTGAATGTCTCGACCCAGGAAGCGAACCATGCTGATCTCCATGTCGATCCTGCCATGGATTAGTGAGATCAGTGGTTAATTGAAGAGGGTGTAGTTTATTAGGATGCTCTTTTTCAGCAAATTGTTAAAATATGAGAGACAGCTAAACTCTGAAAGATGCCATGCTCATTATAAGATTAGGTCAACTAGAAAATAATATACAGTGGCGTCTCCAAAAGGGGTTGCAGGGGAGGCCATGGCCCTTCTTAATAAATGCCAGCCAGCCCACTGGCCTCCTCAGAGAATAATATTCATATCGTAGAAAGTCATCCCCTTCTTCAATGAATACATAAATATAAAACCCAATAAAAAAAATTCATGCAAAATAAATAAATATTGTTTTAGCTGTGCTCCCTAAAAGTTTTGCTAGCCTGGTCTGGCCACTCTTATGAAAAAATTCTTGAACAACACTGATATCGTAAACAAAAAATACTTAATTTATTGACTACTTTTGACTACTACTACAGTTCATAGAATGCAGGTAGCAATTGTATAATTCATTTCCTGGAACTTGCTTTGTACACTGGTGTTCAGTTCACGTTGTATTGTTTACTCAAACAAAAAGGTCAAGACTGGAAAATTCTAGAAAAGAAGAATAAACACTTCCATACCAAACTTTACATTTAACTCAGTCAGTCAGGCAAGGCAAGTGACTTTCTTATTCATTTGTTAGTTATCTTGGTGGAGCAAACTCTTTGTTGCTCATTGGAAATCATTAAACAATGAGACCTACTTGTATGTTGGCATGAGATTCAAGGTAGATCCATCTGTGTCCAGGATGATGTAGTCCAGCTGAACAGCTCCAGAGCTGCTGGTTTTGATACGGTGACTAAAGCCCTGTGAATAAACAAAATATCAGATCCTATAACCTCACTTTACTTTATGTTATGCTGAAATTAGAAAAAAGTGGTTTGGTGCTATGGACTTCTGGGTCTATCTGTACCTGGAAATCCAAATTGCGTGTATGTTGTGCCAGGTTTCCTCCAGACATCCATACCCTGGACTCGCGAACGCGATGCACTGCATGAGCCATGAACAGAATAGAGTTGTAGATGGTTCCAAACAGAGGGGACACCTGGACCACAAAGAGAGATGTCAGCTTTACTTATTGTTCTTCAGACAAACTAACCCTTTGAGCCTCCTTTTGAATCGTATGGTGTTTTCACACCTGATAGTCTGGTAGATTCAGTTAGACTGGACCAAAATACATTTTCAGATGGTGCGGTTCACTTTCACACTGCACTGTCAAAATTATCCAAACCACCTTGCCTGTGGTGACTCTGCATCAAGAACTACTGAAGGAAACAACATGAAAATCTCTGAAAATGAAATGAGCACAACTTCCTTATTCGCAAAATGTAAAGAAAAATAGAGTGGGATCAGTTTTTAGTGGTTGTAGCATTTCTGTTTTGTTTTTGGTAAAGGACCCCAAGCCATTTCTCCCACTAGTGGAAGGCTCACGTGTTTGATTTGGTTCCATTTACCCAGAATGCCCTGTGCTATAGTCCACTTCCTGCTTTTGGAGCAGTCTACGGTCTACTTGCATCCACATATGGATTCGAACCACAACATAGTTCACTTCAATTGAACCAAGATCTCAGTTTTTAGGCAAATTTGTTCCACATTGGCGTTAGATCCTCCCCAAAGGAACCAGACTTTGTAGGCAAACCAACTACAGTTTAATTAAAGCAGACTATGGTGGGCTGGTATGAATTGATGTACCTGTTGGGGTTTCAATGTTCTTGCCACCTCTTCTCTCTCCATAGCTTCTCTATAGGCGTCATAGAATGACACCTGGGGGGAGTCGATGGTGATAGTCAACATGGCATCGTAGGCCCGCAGCAGTTTGCTGTTGTTCTTCACAGTAGGGTAGGTTGCGTTAATGTACGGCAGGCTGTAGAGCAAAGTGTCATAAGGTACAAACACGAAGGAGCCGTCGATCATCTGCATGTCGTAGGCTGTTTCCAAGAGGAGCTTCTGGGCCAAGCCACCAATGAGTACCGAGTGCATGCAGAGGATCACAGCTAGGACAGAAAAAGACATCAGAGTAACCCTGTTGAATAACCAGAGTAACCTCATTGATGCTAGAATATTATCTCACTGAATTATAGTGCTTCCAAACAAAGATATTAACAAGTTAAAGGTGGATTAAGCTTACTATGGATGGTTGTTACGGTTCTGATTTGTATCCACACTACAAGCCTCAGACAACTTTTCTGCTTAATACCTGCTCCTCTCTTGAATCACCATACAGACCTCAATCTTACAATCTTACATTGGCACTGGCGACTTTCATCCCTTCCTTCTTGGAGATTGAGTTGAAATTTTGGTTTTTGATTTATTTGACATATTTCTTAACTACAGATCTGTAAATTTACATGATTAGAGTGAGGCACAAGTTGGGGAAGGTGCAAGAGAAATGTAATTTGCCTTTTCAGGAATAGTTTGTTCCTTGTCCAATGAACATCCCAAACTCTTTTTAATAAGAACCATCACTTTTACCTCGTATTTCTTTCATCTTGCGGACTTTGGCCAGGGTTCGTCTAATGCCATGAGGTGTGTTTTCCATAAAACTGACAAATCTGACGTTCATCCTATGGCTCCTTAAAGAGTCCGCCACCTAGACATGACATAAAAGATTTGGCATAAAATGTCTGCACATCCTGATAAAAAGCTGAAACAAGTTTAGTTTTGTCACCTATAATGCAGCTTTCTATTTTTACATAAAACTTTAAATTTTCGGTCTTCTAGAGTGAAAATTGACAAAAGACAAACATCCACACCTTGGTTGCTGTGTCCACCCAGATGTCATCAGAAGAAGAGATGATGCCAATGTGAGCCCACCGGAAGTAGGTCATGACACTGTGCAGCACTGCGGTGGGTCTCGCCATAGATCGGGCAAACGTTGGATGGCTACGGACATCATCTAACTCATAGCCAACACAAGCCCAAGGAAATATTGCCTTATAGACGAGAGCACAGAGAAGAAAATATAGCAGCTTCCTTAACAACTGTTCTAGCTAAGAAAAGACAACTTCTGTGGACAATAGTTACTTTGTTCCAGCCTTTGCTCAGCATCGAAGCAGCATCACAGTATCCAGGGTTGACTGGTCCAACGTAACCAGAGGCCTTGGTGTGGAAACCCACAAATGCCTCCAGTGCCCTGGATGTTTCACAAGGCTCCTGAACAGAAATATTCAATCAACAAGCTAATATCTAAACCTAGGTTGACACTACAAGAAAACCAATGAAGAACTGTAAAACATCCAATTATTAAAGAAAGGACTTTCACTCTACCTGCAGCACGGCATAGCCAAATGTAGCAGCGTAGGACAGTGAGGGGTCTCTGTTGATGCGATTTACCGCCAGCTGTGCCGCAACATTTGGAAGTGCCTTGGCAAAGAGGCGGTCACACCCCCATGGTCCAACCACTCCGACCCGAAACAAGGCAGCGTGCGCTTGGCAGGGCAGTATGCACAGGGCAATAAAGAGGGTGAGTAGGATCCTCAGCAGACCGTTTCCATGCAGTCTTAGAAGAGGGAGGAAACTTGAAGGTTGTGGAAGGACAGAGCAGGGACATGGGGATGAAGATGATGATGTCGGTGGGCGATGATGTTGGACCGGGGTGACATTGGGAGTCTGCTGTTTCCGTGTTGGAGGTAAGGAGATGGAGTCATGTTGTAGCTGAAGCATCTCAAAACATTCAGTCCCCTGGAGTTAAGTAGAATCTGGATAAAGAAGGTCTCCCCTGCATCAAGGAAAGGAGAAAAAAACAAATTGTAGAAATGTTTATGTGCACTCATCAATTTTGGAATTTTTATTATTCGTTACAGCAATTCTCTCGCCAAAGGTGAAATTGATTGACAGATAGTTGGTTGCCTTGTGTTGCCAAGGCTTTTAAGTCTAGTTAAATTGTTATTAACAGGGTTAAGATTTGTGCTTTTGAAAAGCCAGTCCAGAAGCTAAATATGAACTGATTTGATTGATTCCAGAATCAGTTTGAATCGGGATGAGATTCAACAACATTCAGCCAGCTAGTTTTAATATACCAGAGCATAATGTGACTACTGCTGTGCTTTATTGGTGGTACAATCTTTTAATTTTTTTATTTATTTATTTTTTTGAAAGTCCAATCTTGATTCCACCAAACAAGGTTCCTAATCAATAAAAATGAATCATAACATTTTTCAGGAAGCATGTTGTGCTTACCTGCAGTTACTGCTACTTAACCAACTATCCCATCATTTTTTTCTAAATTTCCTTCACTTTATCAATATTTGTACTGTGGTGTCATAAATACATGTAAAATATCTTACCATATACTGAAGAGACAGACTCTTTTGTTTCTCAAAGGCAAATCTTCTGACCCCAGCAACCAACGTAGCGATTTTATTGTTTCTTCTTTTCAGACATAAAAATGTTTAATTACAGTTAGTCCAGTCAACACTAGTCTAACATTATTAACCTAGCAGGTTCTCTACATTTTGACCAACCAAACCTCTAAGTCCGTATGAGACGACCAGCACTGAGTGTACAACCTGTCCGACCAGATTATGTCAAATCCAATCAGAATCTTTAGAGATAATGATTTACATCAATGTCATCATAATGCTTTCTTTTACTGTAGCTTTTATTAATTATTTATTGGGGTGGAATATGGATGTTAAGAATTTAGTTGTATTTTAATAATGTAATATAGTCTCTCTTTTAAAAATGCTTTTAGTGATAGATGAGAAGTCTAGACAACAAAAACTCAGAAAAATACAAGAAATGACAAGCAAGCAACGCATGGAATAAGTTGGTGATGTGGATTCTGTGTTTGAACACTGATTTATTGTTTTTTAATGATTCATTCAAGGGCTTCTGGAGAATATTCTAAGAATATCTAGTGAGGTAATATTTTTCGTTGAATCAGGTGAATCAGAGCAGGAAAAGACGCATAACCAGAGGTCCTTGTAGGCCTGTAAAGAGCTTTTGCCTGATTTCAAATGTGCAACTCAAAAACCACAAACTCTACTGAATGAAACTATAATAACACATCGAAACTCTTACCTCGCTTGGTTCAAACCATAATTTGAAACACTGCAGCAGACGTTGCAGTGTTTCAAATTCTGCGAGTAGGTGCAGACGTGTTTGTGGATTGCTGGTGCTTTTGTCTCCATGTGAGCAGACCAAACATGACTCGAGGACACGGCTGTGAGGAATGCAGCGCCATATGTTCTCCGGACTCTGAGGATTTATTTGTTTTGTCAAAACCGTGCTGCTTCGTAGATTTTACTGGATGTTACTGAAAGAAATCAACCTAATGGCTACAGAAGTATTATTTATCTGGCGTTTCTTACAGTTGGACATGTCTTACTATTTTTCATCTATGAATCAAAATCAATTAATGCTTTAATTTTTTTTATTCTGTGTCCTGCATTTTATCTTTATGTAATTTTTTTTAGATTATAAAATGTTTTATATCATCAATTACACAGAAGCTTTAGTTTACAAATCACAATAAAGTAAATGGGTAAATAAATTCAGATCAGTAATCTTTTATTAAGTTTAGATTGTGTTTTGCCTTTTGCCTCACAACTGCAGTTTGTTAAGAGAAAGATAAAAAGGAAAGAGAAAAAGAGAGAGAGAGAAAGAGAAAAATCAATCAGGAACAAACACACACCTTCTTCTTTCATCCTGTTTCAATTGCATATCTCTCAAAGGCATTGACGTCCTCTGAAAGCTAGAGGGCAGTATGGTCCAGAAGTAGCTAAAATAAAAAGGCAGTTTGGCCAATGACGTTTCTAGGGAGAGTGCTGATATTTTTACATTTTTCTCTGGCTCATTTTCCCGTCTTGAACTTTTAAAACTCAACAATTTAAAATATAAAAACACTTTTTTTTAATAATTAGGTTTTTTGAGTACACCATGCAGCACTGTTCCAACCCTCGCCATGGCAAGAGAAGCACACCAACATTTTCAGCAGCTGTTTTCATAATAAAGTTACATCACCTCAGACTGAACCAAGACAAATCAGTCCAGATGTGAAGACTTGACCTGCCAGATAAACTCTCTGACTCTTTCTGTAATGCAAACATTGTCCTGTCCCGTCAAACGCTTTCATATACTTGCAGCTTTGTTGAGACACTGCTTTGCAAAAAAACATATGAACTTTTCCACATTTGGTCATGTTCCAGCCACAAACTTTAGCCAGTTTTATAGGAATTTAATGTGAAAGACCAACGAAAAGCAGTGAAAAATTGTTTATGTGTATCAGTCTTATTGTATATTCCTCTTTACTGTGATACTGTTAGATTATTTTTTGTGAAAAGCCTAGATTTTTTCCTTCTGTCAATCTAGTGCCACATTCTAAAGTACCATTCTAAACTTTTAATCCTCGTTCATTTGCATATTTAGTAAATGCTGAAATTTAGGCTCAAAAAGTACCAGTAAGACTTTTTCAGATCTATTTATTATTGTCATTTTTCCTACATTTTTCACAGCTTCAGAGAGCTCACATGTAGTGACCAATAAAGGCACGTGATTTATTGCATGTGATTATTGAAAAGTCCGATGGCAGAGGAAATTATCAGCTTCCTCCCACTTCACTTAACTCGATCTCTAAGAAAATTTACAATAAAGTAAATTGCAGTCTGTGGGTGTCATGTAACAAAACGTGGGAAAGTTCAAGGCTTATGAGTATTCATCACCTGCCAGTTGGATTCCTCAGATGGTTAAATCATTAATGTAAGACCCACGCTTCAAGACTGAAAGCCTTAAGAGGAATAATTTCATGCAATTTTTAAGTTTTCAAATAGTTTTGTGCAGCAGTGTTTCATGGGCTTGACACAAGGGGAGCGAAAAACGACAGCGAAAAGTGATGTGTTGGGTTCACCTTTCAGGATGAAAGCTCAAGTTTCACCCTGAAACTTCCATAAAGCACTTTTTTTTGTAATTCCAATTTGCTCAATGGAAAAGTAGTTGTTGTTCAACTTTCTCATATTGTGTTGCTAGCCCGCGTTCTAGATTTGTCCTGGTACCAGTTGTCATCTGTGAAGCCAAATTCATTCTTTGCTCTGACGTCTCGCGTGTGTACCTCTACAGGTACAAGCTCGAAAATGTACATGCACAAAGTTTGTCAGTCGCTTGGGTGGAGGAGGGCAAGCAATTGTTGCCTCATTGTGCAAGTTCCATAAGAAGTGAATGGAGGGTGAGCGATGTCGCTCACCTTGTGTTGAGTCCCTAAACCAAGGGTCTCAAACTCCAGTCGTCAAGGCTCAGCGTTTTTAAATGTCTCTCTACTTCAGGCTTCAACACTACTTCGTTAGCAAAGCCCTGTATAGATTGACTGCATGCTAGTGAGGTAGCTTAGAAATTCCAGTGTAGGGCAAGGGACAAATCTAAAAGTTGCAGGACTCTTGTTCTCGAGAAATGCAGTTTGAAACCTCTGGCTTAGAGTGATACGTCTTACTTTGTCAACACTAAAAAACACAAATGCTGTGGAATAAGTCTGTATTGCCTCTTTGAGAGTCAGTCAAATAAGTTCATAGCTGCAGGTTACATAGAAATGATGAATGCCTATGTGACAGAACTGATGCATAGTTGCACAAGAGGCATCAAGCAACAAATCAAAACAGTCATTGGAATGGCTGATCTTCAGGTAGACCTCTCCGTCGCACGGTGTTCATGAACTCCCCTGAAGCCGAGTTCAACCCACAGGTTCATATACCATACCAATGCTCTCCTTATATCCAAGTGTTGACAGCCTCTTGTTTTAGCAACTCTTTGAATTGATCGGGAGCTCTCTCTTCATGAACCCTGATGAAACGGCCACTTAGCATTCACTGACGGAGAACCTGTCATTCTGAAGACACGCAGGCACCGGAGGGACTCTGCGAAACCTCCAAACAGGATGAGGCAAGTTCTCAAATTCCACTGGCGATGTCATCTGCGTCAGAGCTTCTGGTTCTGATGGAAGACTGCCGCCGGAGGCCTTTTGGGATAACAAGCTGCATTTGCATTTTAGCCATTTAAGAGACAATCCCAAGATAAAAAGCTATGAACACAACAAAGGGCTACATTTGTTTTCTTTGACTGAGCATCAATGTGCCTTGTGTCACTGATTAACAAAAGAAGTTCCCAACCAACGGCTTGTGCCAGGTATGTCCACGTATGTTAGCAACAACACTTTCACATCAACAGTGTATCCTTTCAGACACATCAACAGGATTTAAAATATACCCTTTCAGTCTTTTTTTCTAATTCCAGTTCACTTGGCATCCCCAAACCAGAACCAAACATGGAGAAGCAGAATTCAGTTTGTATGCTCCACTAATCTGGAACAAACTTCCAGAAAACCTCAAAGCTGCTGAAACACGGAACTCCTTAAAATCAAGGCGTAAACTCTGCCTGTATAGAGCTGCAATACTTGGAACATTGATTGATATATTTGATGAATAATTAACTATTATTGTTATTGGCGATGGGTTTTGATGTAATGTTTGTTGCTTGTGTTGTAATTGGTTGCTATATCATGTTTTTATAGTGTAAAGCACTTTGAATTGCATTAATGAAATGTGCGATAAAAATAAACTTGACTTGACTTAAAACTTTAGCTCGTGCTCTGAACCTTGGATGTCCAGGTTATTATGCCTTAACAGCTTTTATTACTAAAACTGTGAAAATAATTGAATTGACTTTAACTTGGCCACATCACCCTCACCTCAAATCTGGCGTTTCTAATTTAAAACCTTTAATGATACATTAATGAAAGACAGATTTGCAAAGAACATGCTAGAATCGCACCTTTGAGATTCAGCATTTTGTGGTCTCATTTCCAGAGTTGACCTACCCTTGCAGAATTTTCCCTTTCCTAAATGATGTGTCACATATATCAGCAGGCCAGACTCCCTGTTGCTTTCCATCTCAGCCAGTTTACTTTGGAGCAACCGACAGCCAGATGTGTGTCAGGGGGGATGCCTTTACTCGAAAGAACTAAATTTATTAGTCATCTAGTCCCAGAAGTAGCAGTGAAACACACCCACAGAGGCATCCTTAAGGCCTCGGATGATCTAACACAAGCACACGATTTGGATCTCTCACTGCTGGTTTTGCAATGGTTGACTTTTTATTGGCTTGTTGAGCTGTTCGTCCATCAGATAGCGTCTGTGAGGCGGCTGGATAAGTGGCCTCCACAAGCCGAGTGAACCGATAAGAACGCAAACAGAGAGTTACTGGGGTTTTTGTTTGCGACTGTAACCAAGGATTATCTGACACATCACACAAATCCTACAGATAGCTTATGGAAAATACAGAGATAAAGCACTGACATAAATCAGCAGGGGTGCGTCCAGAAAGTTTGCCCCCATTTGCTCAACCGATTTATTTTGATGTTATGAAGGTGGACATTACCCCGGTTGGCGCCACTGTATTTTAGGGATAAATTTGATTAATCGTTTGAAGCAGACCTCTAGATGAACTTTGATATACAGATATAGATTTTCCTAGAAATTTTCCTTTCAAGAACTCATGGAAATAT